AATATATATTTTTTCCTTTAGTAAAATTCTTGGTGTAAGCCTATAATAGCGTGATCCAAGAGGTTACGAATCAAAAATTGAATTTATACTTCAACTATATTAATATTTATATAAGTTATAAAGCGGTGTAATTATCATGGTAATAATTGCGTAACTTGAATTTAAATCGCTCTCTATATCATCGTTATAATGTTAGAAATAATTCAATAATCGTAAAAAATGTGAAATTTAATTAAAGAGTAGTAATAAAGGAGTAAGGAGTAATAAAGCAAAATTAAGATGATAGATAATGCCATTACAACACTATATATACTAAACAATAACTTTATATGTCTGAAAGGGATTTTTATACTTTTCTTACCCTTATACTTGATGATATTTTTAATAGTTATTAAGAACAGACAGATCTTTTTATGTTAAGCATAAATTTTATATTACGTTCTTGTTAATTATTAAGAGTTTCATCGTAATTTCATTACTGCGGCTTAAAATTTGGATGAATTTATTAACTTTAGTTGCTCTATAAATCCAAACGCAGTAGATTAAAGATACTCGTTTAATTTATTAATACACATCCTAATATTTTGACTAAATTAGGAGAATATTTGCAGATATAATTCTTAGCAAGCGAATATCGTATGATGTATAAACAAAAAAAAATTATTTGTTGCCTATAGAAGTTATAATCATAAGGGAAATTCACACTCGAAATACTGTATTTAAAATTAAGTTAAATTGAGTTCGTGTATGGTTGGAATAAAAGCTTGGCTAAATTAACCATAATGAAAATAATAAGTAAATAGCATTTATAAGAAAAATATTTAATCGACTATCTAAATCTTGCCTTAAAATTAAGAAATTATACTTTACTAGATAAAATGTGATAGGTAAATGGGATGTATAATGTAAGATTCAGAACGAAGATAATTAGAATCATGAGTGAATCATTTGTTTTGGAAAGTGACAAATGGAAATGTCAAGGTTTGAACACAAAGACGAAGTATATTTTGTGTTCAATCGAATATCTTGAGTATTGGTTGTCTTACCACAGGAAATTATTATTAATATTTAGAATTATAAAATTAACAATTATCTTATTAAACTTAAGAACTATAATTCCATGAAAATACTAGAAGAAACAAAATTTATATAAAAGATTCAGTTTTACACTACAGAGATAAAATACCTCTGTTGTGTATAATTTAATTAATAAAAATCTGTATTGATGTGTACTGCGAGCTATATTTTGTTTGCTACGAGATCTCACTGAGAAATTTTTTTAGTAATTTTCAACTCTTAATAGGGTATGGGCTTCCCGTTCGGGTCTCGACTTCGCCTTCGTCACCGGACATAGTTGGTACGTTAATACGACATATTTTTTTTATTTATTATAATTATGTAATTTATCTGCACTTTCCGCGCGGTTTCGTCTGATGTTCTCTGATTTCTTCAACCGTATTCAATACTTTAATAGAATTATTTTTAAAAAAGAAATTTAATGGTTTGATTTTCCTTGCGACATCGATTTACGCGTACCTGTTACAACCACACGGCAAAACTCTTGTTTATATGTTTATAACTTTAGATTAAATGTTACTCGGCCATATTATTTATATCAGGCTACTAAAAATGTGATCGGATCGAGGTTGAACATTTATTGTATATTCCTTATGTTACGTTAAAGCATATGTAAACAATTTATGTATGATTGTTTATAATTTTGTTTTTCTTTTAAGTTTTACGCGTTCTTTTAATATTAAATGGGAGTGGTTATCTCCAGCCTTTATAAAGCTTATTACATTCTGTATAAAATATTTTTTGTCAATTATTCGTGTTTAATTATTCATTTTAAATTAAAATTCATTGTATTTTTATTTAATTTAAAATAAAAAACATAACTTCCTGTCTATTTTTATTTCCAAACAATTATTGTTCGGATAATCACACGTGTAACCAATCTTCGTTTGTCTTATAAATCTTTTGTTTTATATTTAATTTAAGAATTGTTTATGTTTCTTTTATTTAATTTTTATTTACTTTAATAACATTTTTAAATTTATATTTGATATTTATTTAAGTTTGATTTTACATTTATCACTATAATAAGATACATAAAAAATAAATTTTCAACAATTTTATTTTATTGTTAAAGATGTAAAAATTAATATCAAAGAATTCATTAACATTCAAAAAAATTATTATTATTTGAAAACATTTGCGGATACTTTTAAGCAATAATAAATGCTAAAATTTGACTCTATTATTCCCTCTTTGCGCCATTTAATTGGAAAACGGTGTAAATATTATTTTAAAAATTCTGAAAATATACAATTTTTTCATGTTAATTATTATAAATTTAAAAATAAAGAAATAAATGACCTTTTAATAGAGATGGTTACTTTAAAGTTAGTTAGGACAGGACGTAACAAAAAAGCAATCTAGAACAACGCATAATGTTATTTATAGCAATTCTATTGTTCGCTTAATTTGATATACTATATTATTAAAAAAAATTAAGTATTGGTTAGAGTATGGGGGTGACGAGTAAGGAATGAAATAATCATCATGTCTTATACAATTCTCTATTGTTCACAATCTTGAAATCTTCATAAAGTGGCTGCATGTTTCTAACTTCTATCTACTTAATAAAATAAATAAAACTTTATAATACATTTGTTTCTTTAAATAGAACTTATATCATTTATTTAAATTTGCATGCAAAATAATCATTTTAATTAAGATATTAAAAATTAATAGAAATTGATTAAGTGATAAAAGTAGAAACATATTTAAACTTGATTTTATGTAACTTGAGAACATTTTTGTTTACAAAAGTATGCTATATAAAATTTAAGTATAACTTAAATTTCTTGGAATATGGTTTCTTATATATTATAATGCTAATTTATAAAAAGAATAATAATTTGAAATAGAGTGCAAATCAATTACACGCTTTATAATTGTTCAAAATACTCTTTCATTCGTTCATTTTAAAGATTTATACTTGTAAAAAAGGGAATTATATAAGTTTCAAATAGTTTAACTTAGTTATAGTATAATCTTTTAACAGATTATAATATAGGAGCTCAGCATAGGCTTGATGAAAGTTAGCATGTTTAAAGCATTCAACTTAATATAGAACAAATTCTTATTCTACCTTGAATGTATTATACCCGAAAAAATTGTAACTTGCTTTCACTGAGCTCACAGTTTAATCATTCTTACTTTATATTTAATGTTTATATATAAAAACTTACAAAAAATCCTTGTAAAATCGGTTGAAGAATTCTAAATGAAAATAATTTATTTAAACAATATTTAAACTTATTATCTTATGATATATTAATTTATTAGTTTGATCATACTTCATTTTTATAACATTACTTTTGGGTGAACACTAATAATTCAAGATTAACTTATATTTTTACTAATTACTAAAAGTATCATTAATTATATAACAGCTTTCTATAAATAAATCATTCAAAGTCATCTTAGAATTTGCTTTTTTATTTTTTTAAATAGAAAACCAGATGTCTTTTACTCAATACAAGATTCTTTTAAGAAAACTTTTACTGCTAATTATAAGTATTTATTTTACTTGTGTACTACAGAATTAAACATATTTAACAAGAATTTACTGTCAAAGAAAAGAAAGAGTAAATTACTTTTTAATACATAAATAGAATCGATAAGAATTGTGCTTTATACAAGAATTTTTAATAAGTCACAAACCATTTGCAATTTCAAGGATTATTCGGAGGAAAATGTGTTAGAAATATAATATAATAATAATATGAAAACTTTTTATGTTTCATTTCTTAAGTGCATTTTACATAAGTTATAACCTCTCTTTATAGAAGAAATCAATGTTGAGAAGGGAAAGAGATATAAAAAAACTGAATATTTAGAAAAAATGTCACCCGATAAAAGGCATCTGTAGATTAGACAAAATTGTGAACGTGAGAAAATTTATTTGGCAAGAGAAAAGTGTTGACCAAGATTAAGCGAATACTGAGAAAAAATATGCCATCTTTACATAAATTGTTCTAAAATTTCGAATGTTATATATGTGTGCGGTGAAGTCGAAAAATATTTTCCCTCTATCTGGAATTTTTCGATATTAACTAGCTATGTATAACTGAAACTTATAATTAAAATTTAAACTTTCTAAACTGTCTTTTCCAACTGATATTTCGCGATTTTTGAGGGATGACAAACTATATCCCTGCAAATCCAAAAAAGAGATTAACTTATGTTAATTTACAACGCTTTTCTCATTATACCCTACTTATTAAATATGCCATTTTGATAAATATGTTATAACATGATGCACTATATGTCTATATCTTTATCGAATTCTCTATATACATAACTTATATTCATTATAATTTATTCACAGTTCTCTTTGATAAAACATGTTCCAGATTAGTGTCGAATTAACACATCTGAAGGCCTTAAGCACCGACTAATTTCAGAGCTCTTTAAATATTCCATTTAATATTTATAAACGGAATTTAATATACAATTATCATTAAGCTTAAGGCCTTAGAAAGTGTTCAGTTTACTTACAGCATAATCCGCTGTCGTTCTACATCATAATAATAGATCATAAGAAGATAAAATTTATAAAAAAAATAGTCAATAAAAAAGATAGCAAATATTTTAATCTAAAATAAAACTAATTTTACATTATATTATACAATATATAGTATATCATCAGCAGAATATGTTAGTAAAACAGTCTAAAATTCGGGTATTTTCAAGACAACTTTTTAAAATGACTTCATAAATATTTATAAAATATAGCTGTACTACAGTACGAGAATATTTATAAGACTATGTTTAATTAAATAACGGTAATTTTAATACAAAGTAATGTGATTTATTTTTGTCCAAAACAATCGTGACAAGAAGAAGAAAAGAAAGAAAAATATGCTAAATGCATATTGTAAAAGGAAAATTGCCTACGTAACAACAAAAACAACTGCATATGAACTTTGCAAAGTTGATAGATCATTTGTTTATAAAATGCCATACTTGGAAGAAGTAAAATAAGACGAGAAAAAGTGTAATAAAATAAGAGACCTTCTTTAATAGATCTTATAAAAATTTTCAGAACTTTAACCTACTTTAGATAAGATTGCTATGAATCTTCAAACGTATATAAAAAGTTTCTTTCAAAAAATTTTCCTTTTTTTTTATGTCCACATCATGAATTTCGAGAAATAAAAATGACTGATAAGAATGACCTTGTGTGTAAAAATGTCACGATTCCATTTATAAACAATAAACAACTACCTAACCTGATGCATGTTTTGAAAATTATAAAAAGAGGACAGAAAATTTCTGTACAAAAGAAAGTGACTTTGATATATGGTAAAGTAAGTCTTGTTGCATTCATATTTTCGAATTTATAATGTAAATATGTTAAGAAAAACAGAAAGAAAATGAATTATTTAAATTAATTTTAGACGTATTTCTGCATTAACATTGACTTTCAAAATATTCATTCGAATAATAAATAATATAGAATTGAGATTTTACATTAAATATCTTATGTTTTTTAATAGTAATATTTTATCTAATAATAAATGGTACCAGCCGCAATTCATATTAAAACTTTATTCATAATATAATTTTATATAATATGAATCGAAAAGCTTAAATTAAAATCATTTTACTTTGAAAAGTCTTAAAAAACAATTTAATAAATATTTCACTTAAAAAGTGTGCACCTTCTTTCCCAATACATCTATTGGCAAATGAAAAGTTATTTTTGAGAAAATATAATTAATTTTAAGAATTATTTTTATTTTA